ACAGTAAAATGGAGTTACCGAAAGGAAAAACCGAACTGTCATGCACATTGCCAGAAGTTTGCTTGTCGAGAAAAAAGTACCTCAGGTTATGCCTTCATACTTAGCAATGCAGATGTGGCATGGTCATCAAGGAAGCAACCTATAGTCACACTCAATACCACAGAAGCGGAATTTGTAGCTGCGTCAGCCTGTGCCTGCCAACTGATTTGGATGAAGAGGGTTTTGTCCAAGTTAGAGTACAATGGAAACAAAAGTCCGGTGATTTTTTGTGACAACAGTTCTACCATTAAACTCTCAAAGAACCTGGTTATGCATGGCAAGAGCAAACATATCGATGTGCACTTTCACTTCCTCTGTGATTTAGTAAATGAAGAAAAGGTTCAACTGAATTATTGTGGCACCAAACAGCAGATAGTTGATATCTTTACTAAGCCGCTCAAGCTTGAAGTCTTTCAAGAGCTGAGGAAGAAGCTTGGTGTATGTGACATCTCAGAGATAAACTAGACAATCTAGTTTAGGGGGAGAATTGTTAGGATATTATTAATTGTTGCGTTATTATTAAATATTATTTGTTATTTGACTTAGTCTGCACTGATTGTGAAAGAATCGTGCTTGCAGTTTGTTACCTTTATGTATGCCTAAATTGTAGGGAGTCTAATATTGCTTAGTGGCCCTGCTTCCTCGCCACTACTTAAGAAGTATTCAGTTTCTTTTGTAAGCTATTTATATAGCAGCATTACTTTCTAATAAAATATTTCAGTTATCAGATTTGTTAACATTGAGGAAATTAAACATAATAGAGGAAGCTGAACTTACAGTGGAGGAACATGAACTTATGGTGGAAGAATGGAAATTTCTTGGAGAAAATGACTCTAATAGACAATTCTTGCTTGGACAGAAGGTTGAGGTACTAGTGTAGATGATTTCTTGTTGAAGACTGTGGATCTTGATGGATAAGAAGATCGTCGCTTATTGGGAAAATAACTATTACAACATTATATTAAAGAATTTGAACAAATAATTGGAGAGTAGTAGTGCTTATGGCTTTTTAGTCAAGAATTGACATTGAATCAACCATTGATTAAATATTAGAGAACAACTACAATTACTCGGAATTGCAACTTAAAATGCTTTCACCGGTGCAATTAGAGAGATTCGAGATAATCAAAAGACAATTATCATCAACAACACCACTATTATATACTAGAACAAAATAATTTAATATATTGATGAAGACTACCATGAAAATGTTTTTTGTGATGTGGTGATGGTTCTTCGACGACTATGTAAGATACATGCAAAATAAAAGTTTTTCATTAGACGCTTAAGTCAATGTAAGATTGAGGTAAAACTTTATAAATATGAGTTGAATCGTATTTGGGTGTGACTTAGGACCATACTTATATTAGAAAGGTCGTTGTATATGATAGGTCAATGTGGGGTATTCATCTAACTCTCACGTCTAGTAGTGAAAAGAAAATAAGTGGTTCAATCCAAGTCCTATTTCAGGTAGTGGAAAAAAGATGTGGAAAATTATTACAAATAGAAAGAGTTACTTTGAGTTTCTTTACTTCGTGAACTCTAGCCTTGTGGCAACTTTAACTTTGTGAATGTGAAGAGATTTAAGTAGTAGTTATGTGTCATGAGATAATTTATAACTTTTGTGTTCAAAGGTTAAAATTGAGAAGATTTTCATTTTTTATGTACAAAAATATTAATGGAGAGGATTTGTAATTTTTTCATGCATAAATTGTAATTAAAAAAGCTTGTAACCGTTTTGTTCAAAAAAAAATGAAGTCGTGAGATTTTACAATTTTCTCCTTATAAAAATTAAATTCTAGAAGGGTTCGTATTTTGTCCTTAAAATAAAATTGCATATAAAATAATAAAATAATTTTATTGAAATATAGTTGTTTTAAGTATGAATTGACAAACCACAATAAATTGATCGGTGAATTGTATTTTTATTAATCTCTATTTATTTTGTGGACGTGAGTCCACCGAGACATTTGTTTTTTCTCTCTTTTCCAATAGGATGGTATTTGGTTGAAGGAGAGGTGCATCTTGTACGTAACCACCATATGATGTAGGCCCACCTAGAAGTCGGCATGTAAAGTTAGTGAAAAGAATTGGATGCAAATAGTATCAATTTTCATTATCCAGAATTGATGGGCAGTGAACAGGAGCAAGAATTAAAGATGACTATGCTAGCATGTCCCTGTGTAGATGGTTGACTTTGATTCTCAAAACTTTGTTTGATTCCTTGTGCTTTCTTAAGTAGCAGTTTTTGGTGTAACACTATAGTATAATATACTTGCATAACTATATACTATTAATTCAAGGTTGTTAGCCATGAAAACGTTACTCCAAACCCAACCTTTAACCATATTAATTTCATTTTGTGCAATTTCATTCTTTATATTGATTTCCATACTGTTTTTTACGCCATCAAAGATACCAATACTAGACGTTGGTAGTTCTTTGCAACAAACTACTGATACTGATTCTGATCCAACCGATGTTAATCATCTTGTATTTGGAATCGCTTCTACTGGAAATTCATGGGCTGATAGGAAAAAATATGTCAAACTTTGGTGGGAGAAAGATATTAAGGGTTGTGTTTTTGTGGATAATCTTCCACCTGAACAAAATGACCGTGATGATTCTGTTCCTCCTCTTTGTGTCTCCGAAGACACTTCGAAGTTTCATTATACTTTTAGAGGTGGTTTAAGATCAGCAATTCGCGTGGCGCGTGTTGTGAAAGAGATTGTTGGATTGAATAATCATTCGAATGTTAGGTGGTATGTGTTTGGTGATGATGACACAGTTTTCTTTCCGGAGAATCTTGCTAAGACTCTTTCTAAATATGATCATAGGCTTTGGTATTATGTTGGTGCTTATTCTGAGAATTATGAAGGGTCTTATGTTTTTGGTTTTGGAATGGCTTTTGGTGGAGGTGGTTTTGCTATAAGTGCTTCTTTAGCAAATGTTTTATCTACAGTTTTTGATTCTTGTATTGAAAGATACTCTCATCTTTATGGAAGTGACGCTAGGGTGTTCTCTTGCATAACAGAACTTGGTGTTGGATTAACATATGAACCTGGTTTTCATCAGGTACTAATAATAACTTTTTTATTTATTGAATATTTGTTTTGTGATTCCTGTAATAGTAATAATCACTTATATTAATGTGATTATATGAAATTGGATTATAGGTTGATTTAAGCGGAAACATCTTTGGATTATTGGCTGCACATCCATTAAGTCTGGTGTTATCCTTACATCATCCAGATCTGGTTGAACCAATCTTTCCTCAAATGACAGCTTCAGAATCACTTAAACATTTATTTGAAGCTGCAAATGTTGATTCACTGAGGATCCTACAACAGACAGTTTGTTACGATAAACAATTTTCGCGGACGATTTCAGTATCATGGGGCTATGCTGTTCAAGTATTCCAAAACAATGAACTTTTACCGGATATTCTGAGAGTTCGAGAAACATTCAGACCATGGAGAGAAAACTTGCCTTTTGCCGGAGTATATACATTTAGTACAACAAAAATTCATCCGGATCCTTGCGAAAGACCAGCAACTTTCTATCTAGACAAAGTATCTTCGGGCAAAGATGGTATTATTAGCAACTATACAAAATCTTTTCGAAATTGTTCTAAAGATAACACATCAATGAAGAATCTTGAGGTGATTAAAGTCGTCACGAAAAAGTTAGACCTTAACACCAAACAGGTAATGTGTTTTAAATGTATCTGGATTCCACGCACATTTTCTTAATATCGTACGGTCGAGATCAATAATTATGAAGTTACTACAGAAAATTTGTAATCAGATATGTTTTTAATTTGGTAATAATGCAAACTTATATGCTATATACTTGTATGCAGGTGCAGTCACTAAGAAGACAGTGTTGTGATGTGTTGCACTCAAACTCTAGTCAACTCATGGAAATTGCAGTTCGAGAGTGCAGATATGAAGAATTGATTTATATGCATTGATAGCATAAATGTATGTATAAAATTTGTTTCAATATGATTCAGCAGATTATTATAGAGTGTTGCTAGAAGTCATTCCAACTTTTAGATGCGGTAGAAGTCGCTAGAAGTACTTATCAAAGTTATAATAATTGTTTTTTTTTTCTTCTGTTCAACTAAACTTTGATGACTTTCTTCACTACACCTAAAAGGTTCAACAAATAAGTTATAAACTAGATTGCGCTATGCACGGGTTCTCGGTCAGGGCCGGATTTGAGCCGGTGCAAACTGATCCGTTGTTCAGGGCCTCAACATTTCAGGGGCCTCAAATTGTATGAAAAAATAGAAACTAAGTCCAATTAGTCTTTAAAATACTGTTCATTCAGATTAGGTTATATATAAATAAATTAGTTATTAGAAACACAAACACTTGTACACCATAACACTTTTGTACTTTTGTAGGGAAAAATAAATTTACGGCTAAAGAACCGTACATCACAATTCATATAGCATCATCATTAATATATTAAGATTGGGGATCAACTTATTTCAAGAATAAGTTTTTTTAATTTACTTTAAATCATAGTATTTGAATTGAATCTAATCTAATTATTAAATTAGTCTTGTTATTAAATCACTATTAGATTAAATTTAATTTAAAAATCATGATGTAGAGTAAGTTAAAAAAATTTATTCTTAAATTAAACTGATCCTCACTCATATTTTAATAGTTTTAAAAAATAGCAATAATATTACGTATAAAAAAATTGGTCGATTATAGGTATTACTCATTCAATTCCTTTTTAAATGTCACTTTTTAATTTTTTACACATATCAAGAAACATAATTAATATTATTGTTTTTCATACAATAATTTTTCTTTTACCTATAATATTCCTAATTATTTATTACAATTATTTTATTTTTTCTTTCTCTGTAATAATTATCCGGAGATAATTTTGACAAAAATATATTTAATATTACCTTAAACTAACTATTAAAAAAATAATAAATGGTGACGACGAAAAGGGGACGAGGGCGGCCGAAATCCACGGTGCCACCGTCACTGGAAACTCTCACTAGCTTGAAGACGTCTGAGCCTGAATCAACCACTGTTAGTGTTCAGACACCTGGGATTGAATCAAGAACCACCGCCGGAGAAGACAAAGATATGACAAACACACTGGCGAAAGAGAACAAGAAAACCCTAACAGAACCGACACAAACACAACCTGAAGAGCGTAAACCATGGGTTGATGTTATTAATGACAACCGGAACCCTGCAAAAGGAATGGCAATAGAGTACGTTGCGCCAAAGATCGTCAATGGAGTGATTGAAATTGATATTGAACAAGAAGATATCGAAACGGAAATACAATTTTGGGATAATGCTCTAATCCTTTATGTTGTTGGGGACGACCTGAGTATGAACACGGTGAAGAACTTTATGCAAAGAATGTGGAATTTCGTGAAAATGCCAGATTTGTATTACCACGATGACGGCTATTTTCTGCTCAGATTTAACTCCCAAGAAGACAAGGAAGCAGTCATGATGAAAGGCCCATACACGATTCGAAACATGCCCATGATATTGAAGGAATGGCAAACTGGTTTCAACTTAAAGAAGGATCTGCTAAGAACTTTACCAATTTGGGTCAAACTCCCCCAACTTCCCCTGCATCTATGGGGGGGCAAAAAGTCTCAGCAAAATTGGAAGTGTTATTGGCAAACCGTTGGTGACTGATGAATGCACTACAAATAAGCTTCGTGTCTCATATGCTAGACTACTAATTGAGGTAGACATTACACAAACTTTGATTGATGAAATAACCATTAGAAATGTTGAAGGTGATATAATAATGTAGCCTGTGAATTATGAATGGAGACCAACTTTCTGTGAAACATGTCAAAAAATGGGGCATAAATGTGAAGATCGAGGGAAGAAACAACAATGGAAACCAAAACTCAAGCCACCAGAAACTTCCACGAACATAACGCCTGTAAAACCACCAGAAAGAGAGGAGACAACAGGAGCAGGAAGAGACTCTTGGGCAAGAGCGCGAAAGTCTGTACGAGATAAAGGTAAAAACATAGTGACTGATACAAACAACAACATCAACTGTAACAATGGTTTTGAAGCACTTGAGGTTTTGAATGACCATCAAGTGACCACAAACCCTGAACCATGTTAGTCTCATGGAACATAAGGGGACTCAATAAAGTAGGCAAAATTCGTGAGATTCGGTCTCGTCTCCAAGAGATAAAGCCTGCTATTATTATTTTGATTGAAACCAGAGTTAAAGAAGCTAGAGCCAAGACCATTCGAGAGAAACTGATGATGTATGAAAATCACATTGACAATTACAAAGACCATACAAATGGTAGAATCTGGATTCATTGGGATAGTAACAGGGTGAATGTGAAGTTCATACGAAGTAGCAGCCAATGTATCCACTGTGGCATCTATGATAATTGTGGAGAATTCAAGCACTGGCTAACTGTTGTATATGCTCATAACCAACTAAACCGAAGGAAAACCTTATGGACAAAAATATAACACATATATGGTAGCATCCAAGGGCCTTGGTGTGTTATTGAAGATTACAACAATGTAATCAAATTCCAAGACAGAATAGGAGGGAATCTAGTGACTGAAAAGGAATACGCAGACCTGACAAAAATGATGGAGAATACAAGTTTAAGTGAAATGGATAGCATTGGGGATCATTTCACATGGTCCAATAAACAAACAGCTGGTCCTTTTTACTCAAGAATTGATAGAGTTTTAGGCAATACTGATTGGTTCCTCACCAATATGGAGACTACTCTAAAAATCCTCCCACCTAATATCTCTGATCATGCCATGCTTTATTTGGAATGTAACCAAGTTCATAGGAAACCCTCCAGACAGTTTAAATTTAGCAACTGCATTATTGAACTGCCAGGTTATGACACTTTGGTAAAGAAGAATTGGGATGGCCATATTAGGGGTAGTCCAATGTTTATTCTTTACCACAAACTCAAAAGATTGAAGCATGAGTTAAAACACTTCAGCAAACCTCTATCTGATGTTAAAACCAAGTTGGTATCTGCTAGAAATACTCTAAAAGAAACACAAGAAAAGCTGAGAAACACAACTTGATTGGTAAAGCAAAAGATCTGACTGAAGAAGTGATATCCCTGAACGAAATGGAATGGAAGATTCTGCATCAAAGAGCAAAGATTGATTGGATTAGGAAGGGAGATGGCAACAATCAGTATTTCTATGCTACTATCAAAGGTAGACATCACTCCAATTGCCTTACCAACCTGAAGAAGAGTGATGGCAGATAGATAACAACCAAACCAGACATTGAAGATGAAGTGATTAATTTTTACATCAAACTAATGGGCAAAGATGCTGAGACAATTAGCCATATTGACATAGAGGCCATGAGGATGGGAAAGCAACTTAACATGGACCAAAGGGAGTACCTCACCAGACCCATATCAGAAAACAAAATTACCAAAGCCCTTAAAGGAATTGGAGACCTCAAAGCTCCAGGGCTGGATGGGTATGGAGCAAAATTTTTCAAAACTAGCTGGTCAACTATAAAAGCTGATGTGATAACAGCTGTTAGGGAATACTTTGAAACAGGTAAAATATACAAAGCTTTTAACAGTGTTGCAGTATCCTTGATTCCAAAAGGCCATAATGCTTGTGAAATCAAAGACTACAGACTTATAGTTGTCAGCACCATTTTCTATAAAATTATTTCCAAGATTCTGACTGACAGACTAGGATCTGTCATACCTAGTGTGGTAAACCAAAATCAAGCAGCTTTCGTGCCAGGCCAGAACATCCATAATCACATCATGCTTGCTGCTGAATTGCTTAAGGGCTACACTAGGAAAGGAGGCACACCTAGAATCATGATGCAATTAGATCTACAAAAAGCATATGATATGGTTAATTGGAAGGCTTTAGAGTGCATCGTGAAGGAAATGGGATTCCCTAACAAATTCATCCAATGGATTATGCTAGGCATCACCACTGTTTCGTACAAATTTAACATCATGAGGGAATACACTAATATCCTACAGGCTAAAAGGAGGATTCAAAAGGGTTATCCTTTATCACCTATGCTCTTTGTCCTCATAATGGAGTATATGAACAGAATGTTGGTGAAAATGCAAAGAGACCCTAATTTCAACTACCATGCCAAATGTGAAAAGCTGAAAATCACCAACCTCACTTTTGCAGATGATGTGCTATTATTCTGCAGAGGCGACGACATATAATTACAAATGATTCTACGAACTTTCAGGGATTTTTCCAATTCCACGGGTTTGATAATGAACCCTAACAAATGCAGGATATATTTTGGAGGGCTGGACAATGAGAAAAGAAGGATCTTGAAAGAGCTGTCGGGTTTCCAAGAAGGGACACTTCCTTTCAAATACCTACGAATACCTCTATCTGGCAGGAAATTAACCATCAACCATTTTATGCCCTTGGTGGATAGAATAGTGGCTAGAATTCATCATTGGTCATCTAAACTTCTAAGCTATGCCGGAAGAATTCAATTGGTGAAAAGTATAGCTTCTGCAATGGTACAATACTGGTTGCATTGCCTTCCCATGCCCAAATCAGTGATCAGGAAGATAGATTCCATCTGTCGCAGTTTCATCTGGACCGGTAAGGATACGGTGAGCAGAAAGTGCCCTGTGGCATGGAAACACACTTGCTGCCCTGCTGCACAAGGTGGGATGAACCTGTTAAATCTACGGGTTTGGAACAATGTACTACTCTTGAAATGTTTATGGAATCTTTGCAGCAAAACTGATACTCTATGGGTGAAATGGGTTCATATTCATTACCTAAAAGGAAAACATGTGATGAATTATGCAACCAATACTCACAACTCTTGGATCATATGCAATATTTTGAAACAAAGAGATACCATGGATTTAATACGGAATTAATGGGACCAGCTTCAAAACACTCAAAAGTTTAAGGCGTCGGTATTTTACAAGGTGCTGATTGATGATGGCACAAGGGTACCTTGGAGAAACTTGATAAGATCCAATAAAAGCCGGTCGCGAGCAGTGTTTTGTTTATGCAAGCATGTCATGGGAAACTTGCAACCAAGGATAGATTAAAACATTTTGGCATGATTAAAGACAACGAATGCAGTTTATGTCAAACCGAGGAAGAGACGATGAATCATCTGTTTTTATGTTGTCAAGGGACAAGACACATATGGTAAAAAGTGCTCCAATGGTTTAACATATATCATGAACCTCAACCATGGGAGGCAGAGCTGATTTGGATCAGTAACATGACAAAAGGAAAAGGATGGAAAGTGGATGTTTTGAAAATGTTAGTGGCTGAAACCATCCACAACATCCGGGGGTATCGTAATAATATTAATTTTGGAAACATTGTAGATAATACAACTATGTATACTAATATTATAGATAACGTGATCTATAGAGGGTGGCAAAACTTTAAAATTAGAAAGCATCTTGTTAGTTATATGATGTAAGTTGAGTCTTTTTGGTGGGTTGGATCCTCCTGGATCACCTAATTTTGTACTAACTATTTTTAAATTAATATATTCTTCTTTTGATTAAAAAAAAACAAAAAACAAAAAATTATTCAAAAAATATCAATTGAAAAAAACAGGAGAGAGTATTATTCATACTGCATCATTATTATTCATACTACGAATTTTTTATGCACATCACCAAGAAGAAAATTATAGGTATTCCTTTTCCTATTTTCTTTTATAAGTTTATTAATACTACTTTATTATTAGTATTTTTTTACTATTAATTTTCTTCTTTACATTTTCTTTTATTGTTTCTACATTATATATTTATAATAAATTATATAACATTTTAGTATAAATTTTTTAATTTATATAAAATCTTAATAACTTCTTTTTTTATTATTTACTTTTTAAAATTATATTTTTTTATTACTATTGTTTTATAACATATTAATTTTTCAAATTTTATAAATTTATTTTTTAATTTTTAATTTGTTTATAATTTTATTTTTTTAATTACTTATTATCTTTTAATTTTTTTTACCAGAGACTCTGGAAGACTTTTTTTAAGTTGTATTGAATTATATAGATTTTAATTTTGTTTAATAAAAACATAATGTAATTACAATAAGATGAAAAGGATAATAAAAAAGCGAGAAAACAATTTTAAACAGAAAAAATATATTTGAATTATATAAATAATAAATAAGAGGTAACTTTTAATTTTAAAATGTAAAATAAGTAAAAATAAATTTTAATAATTGTTTTATATTTTTTTCTAACATTTTTAAAAATGCTAAATCTTTATTATTTTATGTATGAGAGATATTCTACATTCCAACTCACTCAAACTTTAAAACTAATCATCATGATCAATATTAAGATCTAAAAAGTAAACTTCTTCATTTTTCAAAGTGCATTTTTTATTTTTGCTTTTTATTCCTCACAGCTAATTGACAATGTCTAATAGGTACGGTTGAACATCAAATATTCAAAATTAAGTTATATCATAAAATTTTATTAAGATAGTATGAATTACTTTATTGAGTTAGAGATCTTTTATATTTTAATCTTTCAGATGAGTTTGTCTTCAACTGAGTTTTGTGAAAATGATAGAATCTTAATTCTTTCTTTAATTTTATATTTAATTTATTTTAAACTATTTAGTAATTCTATAAAGTTTATAAAACTAATTGTTCCGGCCTGGGCCCGACCTCGGCAGGCCCAATATCGCGTACGACCCAACAGGCGAATCGGGCACACCGGGCACGTGCGTCCCACGAGACGAGCAGAAAAGGCCGTCGAACACGAGCAGCGCTTCCAACAGCAGCTCGTCATCCATCTTACCAGCCGAGCAGAACCAGCCTCGGCGCACCAAAGCGCGGCCGTGGTTCCTCCCCTCCGCGGGGAGAGCAACACGCTCCGGGGCACCTCGCGAGCTCCCCTCCGCGGGGAGAACAACGTGCCCGGCGCACGTTCTCCACGTGCTCCCCTCCGCGGGGACACGTCATCAACCAACTGCCCACCTCTGAAAGAGCAGGTCAAACCCACTTTCCGGAGATCTAGGAGCAGTTGGACTAGGGCAAAGACCACGTCCTGGTCTTCACTACGCCACGTAAGCCCTAGCAGTCATTAGGGTTGGGCCTGGTCATCCAGCCCATCTCAAATGACCGTTGGCCCAGCGCTGGGGTCTCTCTATAAATACCCTCTTCCTCAAGAAGGTCAGGTAATTCACATCTTGCCCTTTCTGTACTTTTGCTTCCACTCTGCCCAGTTTCTTACTTTGGCATCGGAGTGTCTTGCAGGTACACCCCCCTTCTCCTCCTCATCACCGGTGAACAGGTAGCAGTCCAACAGCGTGTGGTCAGCCCGTGATCCCCTTCTGATCAGGTCAGATCAGTGGCGCCGTCTGTGGGAATCTAGAAACTTCCCCGTTACTCCGAGCAGAAAACCAAAAGTTTCACCAAACCTCCCCGATCATGGCTAGTCCACACCGTGACGGCACTCCGCACGACCTCGTACTCAACGTCGCCACCAACGGGAACAAGCAGACAGGGACGACACGTCCGGCGGAAACCGACGAAAGGGACGGGCAAACTGCTTCGCCGTCATCCGCGGAACGGCCCCTTCAGGTCGACCACCAGCCCCCGAGCCCACCAGCGTTCCTTCCCGTTCCCATCCCGGCGGGAGCGGACCCAACGGTGGCTGCTCTCTTTACGGACATCAACCAGACGAACCAGCTGCTGTTCCAACAAAATGCGAGAATTGGAGCATTAGAATGCATCGGTCCTCCGAGGTACCCCCCGCGGGAAGACCAGAACGGAGGTTCGAGGAGCCCCTCACCTCGACCCAGAAGCCGCCGGCCGCGGCTGGAAAGGCACTGCACCCAGGCGACACGAGAACGCACCAGATCCCTAGCAAGACACGTTCGTGTGAGGAGGCAAAACACCGCGGCGATCCCAACCGAGGACCCCCGAGGCGAGAATTCAGGCAGGAGATCGAGAACCCGAAACCAGGGGCATACCTTGAACGGCTCATCTCCCCACAGATCCCCGGCGCACAGCGACGAGGATGATTACCGCACCCCGCTGTCCCGGGAGATCATGGCTGCCCCCATACCCCAGGGGATGGAGAAACCACTGACGCTGTCGACATACGACGGCACCTCCGACCCGGACGATCACCTGGAAGACATCGAGGCTATGCTCGACTATCGAAATGTCCGGGGAGCTATCAAGTGCAGACTCTTCCCGACGACTCTGAGGAAAGGCGCTATGACCTGGTATAAAAGTCTGGAGCCCGAATCAGTTACGTCGTGGAGGGTCTTGAAGGACCTGTTCTCCAAACACTTTACGGCGTCCCGACGTCACCCGAAGACGGAAGCAGTCCTCGGGGCAATCATCCAAGGCCCCGACGAACCTCTCCGAAAGTACATCGAAAGTTTCACTCGGGAAGCAGTGCAGGTGACAACTTCTGACGAAATGAAACGCTACTTAATGGAACAAGGCCTGCGCCACGACTCCAAATTCTACGAGGCCGTCGGCATACACCGGCCAACATCCCTCCAAGATTTCCTCGACAGGGCCGCGCATTACATCCGATTCGAGGAAACACATGCGGCCAACTCCGCTCGTGACACTCGAGACAGGGAGGCCCCCCGCGGGCACCGAGACGACGGAGCTTCGAGCCATCGACGAGGAGGAGACCGCCGCCGGGAAGACCGCCCCCGCGAACCCCGTGAACAACGCGAACCACGCGGCCCGGCAGGAAGATTCACAGAGTACACAGCCTTGGTCGCTTCACGCGAACGCATACTGGCCGAATGCGCTAAAACCGAGTTCGTGCAGGGAGGTGTCCGTTTCCCGCGACCAACGCCGCCCAAACCCAACGTGGACAAGTCAAAATACTGCCGATTCCACAGGACCCACGGGCACGTGACAGAAGACTGCATCCATCTCAAAGATGCGATCGAAATTCTAATCAAAGACGGGCACCTGAAGCGATACACCCGAGGAGGCGAACCACCTAGGCCAGAGGCTCCAGAAGCCAAGAAAATCGAGGAACTTCCCTCTCCAGAGGACAGCAGCAGGCTCCAGGTCGCGTTGTGCGTCAGCCGCCCCGAGGATTGGTTCGTGGGCAAAGAATTCGGTATCCCCGAAGGGCCCAACCTAGTCGACGAGCCAATCCGACCAACCAGCCGATGGGAATACTTCCCCAGAGCCATGGTCATCTCTGATGGAGCCACGA